TTATAAATTTGGCCAAAAAATGAAAACACAAAAAATGTGTTTCCATTTTGAATTTTCAGTTTTTTTTTTTAACCACCCAACACTAGCCACCGCCCACCATCATTTTCCACTACCGTCTTCCGCCAAGCCACCACTCCCCACCATTTTCCCCGTCACCCACTTGCCACCACCACCTGCCACCACCACCACCACCCCCCACTCGCTACCACCCGCCACCGTCACCCATCCCACCACCACCACCACCCACTCGCTACCAGCTACCACCTACCACCCGCCACCGTCACCCATCCACCCACCCACCACCTACGCGCCACCACCCACCACCATCCGCTATCCGCCACCCACCTGCCACCCGCTACCGTCACCCACCCATCCACTATCACCACCTACCACCCACCCGCCACCACCCACCACAACCTGTCATCCACCACCCACTTGCCATTACCACCCACTCGCTACCAACCACCACAGTTACCTACCCACCAACCGCCACCACCTGTCATCTGCCACCCATCACCACCACCACCACCACTCATTTGCTACCACCTACCACCCGCTACCATCACCCACCCATCCACCACCACCACCCACCTGCCGCCACCACCACTACCACCACCACCCACTCGCTGCCACCCACCACCCGTCACCCTCACCCACCCACCACCACCACCACTACCACCCACCCGCCACCACCTGCCACCACCAGCTACCCACCACCCACCGTCACCACTTTCCATCACCATCTTCTGCCGCCACTTGCCATTTCTCGCTCTTTTTTATATTTTTAAAATTTTTTAAACATTTTGTCAATTACCAAACGCATTTGTAGTTTATATTTTTCTAAAAATAAATAAAAAATAAACAAAAACTAATTTATAAAAATTTTGTAAATATAAACTAAAAACGTAAACATTACCAAACACACCCTAAGAGTTTTACTTAATCTATATAATAAAAACAATTAAAATAAATTATAAATTTCTTAGTACAACTTTTGATAATCTATATATTATATAAAAACAAAAGTTCAACATATTTAATTAAATAAACTCACTTTTTTTTTGTTTTTTGTTAGGCACATAATTAGCACTCCTCAAAATTCTGTTAACAAAAGAGATATGTTCCATTGGATTGCTTTCTATGGATTGGATTAAATCATATCAACAACCGATTATCCCGATACCTAACTCTACGGATACAATAATAATATCTCAAAACATTTTTTTTTATGAAATTTTTTTTTTTTTGTCCATGCTGAAAATATTTAAGTACCTATTTTACCTTTTTTTCCCGAATAAACTAAAAAAGTCAACTGCGTTATAATTTGAAATTCAACTAAGCATCATTAATTAACATCTTTTAAAACAAATAAATTCAAGTGCGCTATGCTACCGGTGGTACTACATGCACCAATTAATATACTAATTAATATACCAATACTAATTATGACTTTATTATTAACCTCACTCATTAATCACGTTATAAATATCAAAAACCTCTTAAATTATATCACATCATCAATTGATACACTAGTTAGTATATTAATTAGTGCATATATTCGCTATGCTATACACCTCCAAGTTAAAATATTTGTGGTATTAATTAATATAAATATCATAACTAAATCAGTTTTAGTCATACCTAAAAAAAAAAAAAATTATAACCAAACCATTTTGGATCACAAGCGAAATAATTAGAACTAACATCAGAATAAATCATAATCGAATACCACAACCATAGCAAGTTCAATAAGTATACATATAAGTGCTTTTGAATGATAGCATATGGTGTATATATGATAAATGAAAAATACTAAAGATGTATATAAAGAATGCATGAATGGAAAATATTATGGTACATACCTTTACCGTATGCACTTTATAACTAAAAAGAAAAATTGTATAACTTCATACTTTTTGAGTCATAATTAAAGTAAAAAGAAAATGTCATAACCAAATACAAAATGAGGCATAACTAAAGAATTCATAAATCATAACTAAAATAATGTCATAACTAAAGAATTCATAAATCATAACTAAAATAATGTCATAACTAAAGAAAAAAAATTTGATCATAACCAAATAATAAAATGACATAATTAAAAATACACATAATGCACCATTTCCAAGGATGTATGTCAGAATTTCCCATATATATATTCATACATGTAAATTGTAATCAAACTCACATGGTCCTCTCGGAATGTGGTCTTTAACGGGCTGATATGGAATTTGTGCTTCTACAGCTTTGGCCATGGATGGAATCATCATCAGCTGAAATGAAATTAATAGGACAATACAAAGGACAATGGAGGTTTTCTTGTGAACCATTTCAACACCCCTTAAAAATACCAATATCACTACTGATTTTTTCAGACTACTTGACCCTTGTTATATACTCTGATCATCATAGTTATCATATAGGAAATGTATATAGGAAATTACAATGCAGCTCTACAGAAGTCTTAACAAAAGAATGGGTTACAACTTGTAGCTTTCGTTTGGCATGTCAAGAAGTTTGACTTTTTAAGCTTTTTAATCAAAAAAACAAAATAGATTATAAAACGAAAAAGTCAAAATGTCACATCTAAAATATAATTATTTCATTTTTTCTCTTACAAAAGTCAAAAAAATCAAAAAGTTTATTCCAAACGAGGCTTTTTAGTCCCAGACTAAAATAACCAAAAAGTCAACCCACATTTCAAACGAACAATATAAGAGAAATTCCACTATACACACTCCTTATCATAGGTACCCTTAAATTATACCATTTTTTTCTTTAGTTATGATCAATTTTAATTATGACTGATGAAATCTTTGATTATGTTTCATGTGTTTTTTGGTTGACTTTTTTTTATTATTTATGACTTAAAAAATATAAAATTATATCATTTTTTTCTTTAATTACAATGGTACACATCTTTTCAGAGAAGTGTACCATAGTCTTTCTCCTAATATAACAATTAAAAGTTGTGGAAACCCTTGGGTACGTTCATTTATTTTTATTTTTTTGACCCTCCTTTTGGTACGTTCAATTAATTACTACTGCTACTAAGACCAGTCGTGACGTGATTCATTTTATTTTCCCTACCCAATGGGGTGGACGATTCTACAATTGTACTTTCATCGTAATTTTAAAATAAAAATAAAAATAAAAATAAAAAAATCATGGGGCACTGCCATAATAAGGGTTGGTATCGCACCCGGTTGAGTTGTAAAAATGGAGTTCTTTTCTTTTGAACCAGTTGTAAAAATGGAGTTCAAGCTGGCCCACAAGTCAAAATTTTAAGTATAACTACCAGTGATTCGTTGTAAAAATGGAGTCCAAGCTCCCTATAAGCCTACTTTTTTGAACAGGCTCAATCTGACTGACGACTCAAAACCTTAAGTTTGCGCTTTGCTGTACCGACTTCGCCCAATGAAGATCACGGTCAGGCCAATGGGCTCGTAAGCTGGCCTGGCCCGATGGGTACAGATTAAGGCCTCATTCTTAGGCTTTTTCCAGTATCTCCAACATAGACAAGTCTTTGTGGATCATTGACCCGGTCATTTTACAATACACTCTCTTAAAAAAAATAATTTATACCACATATGATATTTTGCGGTGTTAATATCACAAAATGTGATAACTAAATCATTTTCAATCATAGATAAATGGATCACAATAAATTATAACCAAACACCACCTAAACAAAGATCTTTTCCGTCATAATAACAAAAATAATTATAAGTCATAACTAATCCTATAATGAGTAATGACCAAACGCAGGGCCGCCTTACATTGAAAAAAAAAAAAAATTTAATTCATAAATAAAACGATAAGTTACAACTTTTTTATTTGTTTGTACCTACAAAAAAATTTACTTGCATATATAATTATTAAAATTATAAACAAAACAATTTAATGAAACAAAATTAGGACAAAAAAATTAGGAAAAAATTATTCAATTAACTGATAAAGACCTAAGTAAAAAAATTAGGGCAAAATTATTTATTCCACTAAAATCTAATAGATAAAGAAAGTTAAAAAAAATAATATTATGGCCCATGTATTGCATGTATTGTTCTTCTTGGACCTAAACACTTTTTTTTTTAATATATATTTTTATTTTAATAAATATTAACAATCAATCTAGCCCCAACATAATAGGGGCCATCTTCCAAGATTGTGTCCATAGCCTCTTCACTTTTTACTTTAAAAATAAAAAAACCATTGACAATGGAGACAACGTCCTCAAGCAAATTTTCCCAAAGTTTCTCCGCCCAAGTTTTCACATAATGGAAAGAGAATCTTTTATCAATGAAGTATCCAACCAAAGCATATTCCCAATGAAAAAAGTCTTTTTTTGAGATCTCAATAGGGACATTGTAAATGCCATCTACTTGGTTCTCAATCTTATGGGCACCTATTTTATACTTCAATTTTGACACCTTGTTAATCTCAAAACCTTAAGTTTGTGCTTTGCTCTACTGACTTCGCCCAATGATGATCACGGTCAGGCCATTGGGCTCGCAAGCTGGCCTGGCCCGATGGGTAGAGATTAAGGCCTCATTCTTAGCACTACAACAAAGAAGCCTTTTGGCGACCAAATATTTTGGTCCCTAAAACTACTATTTTGGTCTCTAAATGATTTTTTGACAAAATTAATTTTGTCACTAAAAAAGTCACTAAAAGTGCGTCTAGAAAAGTCTTTAGCGACGAATTTTTGAAAATGTCACTAAAAATGACAATTAGCGACCAATTTTATATTGTCACAAAATATTTAATTTTACAAGACTAAACATTTGGTCGCTAATACTTCGTCGTAAAATGTCCCAATTTGGTCGCAAAAAACAAAATAATGGTATTTTTAACGACAATGATATTTGGTCGCTAAAAGATATAACTTTCTCTACAACACATTTTCGTTGCTAAAAATCAAAGTTAAGAATTTTGTAATCGTTTAATTTTATAGCTAAAAATGCACAAAATTAAATGTCATCCAATCATATTAAAAAAAATTGACATCCACACATCAAAAACATTTTATTCCCAAACCACAATGAGTATATAAAAAGTAAAATTTTACAAAAATTAAAACTGAAAGTTTCCAAATTCAAATCAAAATAGTAACCGTTCAAATGAAAAATAGCAACAGTTTCTTCAAAGAGAATATCTAAAAAAGCATTTTCTCAACATCAATGTCATGTTTTATATCAAACAGCATTGGCACAAGAGGCTTCAAGTTGTACTTAGGTGTGACACCTTTTGGACATCCCTGCAACCCAAAATTCAAAAAGAAGAATCAAATAATAAGAATCAACACAACATAAACTCATTAAATAATCAATAGTCATTCATAATCAAATAAATTACAAATAATGAAAAAATAAATTATCTCAGTGTCCTTGTAGTAGTAGTGAGCTATAATACGAATCAACACAACAAGAAAATGAGTCACCTACAATCAATACAATAAGGTTATCATAATCCAAGCATATTATCATAATCAACCCTTTCAAAGTTGATATTTTATAAACTTATCTCTCTATATAGCAGGTCTACAATAGCAGAAAAGTATATAAAAGAGAACCAAGAAGCACTAAATCTAGTCGATTCATCTGGCTAATTCTATAGGTAATATCCCTCATACACTTCAAAGCAGCAAAAACTACAAATAATTAACACGAACAAACCAAGATTTTCAAATCCCACAAGATCTACTAACAAGTGATAATGATTCACAGAAGCAACACTATCTACCAAGAGAGCTAATTGAAATGTTTAAGTGTGAAACAATACTAACATGATAAATTCTTTTACCCCATCAATGTATTGATGTAACCTTCTATTATGAAGTTGCATCCAACTCCTATCCATCCCGAAATCCCTATTATGTAGTACACAAAGACATTATCCTTAAATTCTAATATCTAGTTACTTTCTATATGTGGTCTTAAGGGAGAAACACAACTAAATTCTTGAAGAAGTTTCACTAATATGTATATCTACTTTTGACTATGTGATTCAAATCTATCTTTTGACAAACAAAAATTCAGGGATGTATTGCCAAGGCACACCACAAAAAACAAAAGCAAAACATCAGGACACATAATATCTCATTGGTATTTCGGATTCTAATGGTAATTAAATAAAAAAATAAGTTGGAAAATAATGAAAATGTTGAATTTATTTTGTCGTTTTTGTGTTTCATCTTTTTTTTTTATATATAAAACATAAATAAATAAACAGCAACAAAAAAAATAATGAAAAGTTTGAGTCATTTTTTAGAAGTCAAATATTTCTTTAAAGCAGTCTACCCATTCAAACTGATGACAAAGCAGCAAAATAAAGGCAAGGAGGAAACCAGTTCAGAATCCACCAACATGGCCAAAAATAATAATAATTACTAACAAAAATAAAAATAAAGAAGAGAAAAGAGCTCATTGAAAAACATACCAAAGATGAAGCAATTATACAACCAAAAGCCAGTGCAAGAGAATGAAGAAGCCTCTTTCTGCAGTCAATACCCACTTAATGAGAATATATCTTCAATTCTAAGAGGAAATGAGAACACTGCAATGTTAATGAACAAGAGGAAAGAGCAAAATGCAGCAGCAGGTTTCAGAAGAAGACAACTACAACTTCTAACATTGTCAAATTTCCCCTCGTGCATGCAGGAAAAATCATAGTTGGGTGGACAATGGAATTCCATGTAGCTGGTTGTGGAAGGAACACTTTTCAAAAAAAAAAAAAACAAGAATTCACACAAAGCCAATGATATCACAAAAATGACTTGCAGCTACTTCATAAAGGAACACTGACTTTTGTTCGAATTTTGTGGCATATTGACAACATGCCAAAGACAACCATTGACCACAAATTTTTAGGTTAACTAAACTCATTGTATAATAAGATTTGATGCCCTTGGAGCCATACGGGTATGAAGCAAACATTTGTTTAATATGCTCCAAACACTACTTAGATCTTTTGTCATCGAAAATGTGTTTAACTAACCAAATAAGAAAGTAGAAAAACAAGCACTAAGTAGCACACCTGAGGCATCAGTGCTCAGCTGATGCTTTTTCAGCTCTTGTATTGTTTCATTAACAGATTTATTTCCTGCGAAGGATGAAGCTATTTGAGGTATAAGCTGCTTCAACTGGGGCTCAGACTCTGGGTTACTGCTGTATCTTGCCAAAATGTGATGTCCTAATGTGGATCCTCAGAACTGCATAAATAAGAGCAATATGCCTTGAATACATGAAAACAATCTCTCTAAAATTTGCAGAACACAACAGATTAGCTGAGCATTATTTCCATATGATGTCAACAAGTATGAATGTGAAAAATGAATCACAGATTCACAGAATGAAAATTCATCAATTTGTCAAAGAAATGGCATCTTCACAACTCCATGTCTAGGAAGAGATTAACCAACAACAATACTAATTTACTATCACTAAGGACATGGATGCCTACTTATTTCAAATCGACAGTGTTGCACACTAGTTAGACATAAAACAGAGCATTACTGAAGGGTTTAGTAAAATATATTGGGTGGTGAAAATGAAGGTGAGTAACATATATTGGGCAAATGAAACATAAGGTCATGCAATGGAATCAATATGACACAATTCTGATATATCAAATAGACAATTCAGTTCCACAAAAACAAATATACTTATTATGAACTGAATGAAGATCTGAGACATACAAGGTGGCTGTCAAGAGATTCTCCTTCAATGAACCCAAGTTCGTAGATGGTATGTAGTGCGTTCCAAGACCTACATAGAGTGCATCAGCAGGTGTAGAAATCCTTTTTCCAGTCATTCCAAGATAAGCACCTGCAAAAACTCTCTTTGTTAAATAACATGGAAAAACATAGAAAATATACTCAGAAAATGAAACAAAAGTACCCAGTTAGGTGTAATGTAAGTGTCTTTCTTCAACCTTAAATATCATAATCCATTTTCAGTGTTCAATTTCTTTTAGTTTTCCTGAATTTCCTGAGTCACCAAACAAAGCAATCCAGAATAAATACATTTCTTTCCACTTAGGTTATCCAAACAAGTAAGAGAAATGCATATCTCTTCATTTCTTTTATTTTCTCTCCAAATCACTCAATCCAAACATAGCGTAAATGAAACACAAAGAATCCGCTCCAATTGCTGAAAAAACATATTTACTGAGTTATGTTGCTACAATGAAACTCAACATCAGTAGGGAAATGAATAATTCAACTATTGTAGTAGTAATTGTATGTTAGACAACCAATATCACCAAAACTAAAATCTTTCTCGTCATAGAAACAAGAAAATAAAAATAAAAACACTAAAAATTAAAAAGAGAAACAAAAAAAGATCTTTACAAAATTAAACAAATGAAAATATAATGATAGTTCAATGCACTGCAATGTGGAGCTTCAAATTCCATTTTTGAAGGTGCAAAAAATAGACTCAAACTTCCTCACAAATGAAAATTCTGAATTGATTGCATAGTTCCAAGAGTTAAACAGAAAGATACAAAACAACAATATTGTATTCCAATTCATCCTTAACTAGTCCACTTTTCTCCCAATTTCCATAGCCCAATTACTTTGCAAGTTCCAACTTTTCCTTAAAGGACTCAAACTTCCTCGCAAATGAAAATTTTGTATCGATTGCCCAGTTCTAAGAGTTAAACCAAAAGATGCAAAAGAACAGGACAATTCTATTCAAATTCATCCTTAACTAGTCCACTTTTCTCCTAATTTTCAATCCATCGACAAAGAAGACAATGATTTAATGAGAGAAAACAGAGATAAACCAAATCTGATAACATATGGAGAGTTTGATACATATGGCCCAGTGAGAGACAATTCATTCATCATTCTTATTCTTAGTGAGAGAAAACAGAGAAGAAGGCCATATATATATACACACACAAGTTCAATCTATGTAACAGTCAGAAATTGAAAATCAAAAAACAAAAAATGACAGTGTAACACCTGAAAACTCACTAAAACAATAAATTAACAGCCTACGAAATACAGTATTGATTGAACTGTGCGAGAAAACAATTCTTCATCTCCAACATGCATCAGATTAGATATATATATATATATATACACATACACATTAAGAGATATATATACACATAAAAAAAGTTCAATCTATGAAATAATAAGAAATTGAAAGTTCGAATTGGAGCTCTTATAGGTCGATTACGGAGATCGATTACGATAAGAAATTGAAAGTTCGAATTAAAGCTCTTACAGGTTGATTACGGAGATCGATTACAGAGAGAGAGCGAGAGAGAGGCACCAAAATTTGAAGACGATGAGCTCCCAATCTGCCTTGGAGCTCTCAACTTTAGGGCTGAAGATTGAGCAACCCGTTGAAGAGGAGGGAATGAGCAAGTTATGACTAAAGTGTGGCCCCGACTTTTTAATCGTTAAAATGATAAAAATATTTCGTCCCAAAATGTTTTTAATGGATAATGACGAAAATATTTGGTCCCTAAAGATGTTAATAATATATTAGCAACCAAATTTATTGGTCTAAAAAAATTATGTAAATATTAAGTGAGAATATTAATAGTCATTTTTACAATCTTATATGTAAATTATCATACTTTTAAAATTGTCCCTCAAAGATTAGTTTTAGCCACCAAATTTAATTAGCCCTTAAATATTGGTCTCTAAAAGACTAATTCCTTGTAGTGTAGGCTTTTTCCAATACCCCCAACATAGACAAGTCTTTGTGGATCATTGACCCGGTCATTTTACAATACACTCTCTTAAAAAAAATAATTTATACCACATATGATATTTTGCGGTGTTAATATCACAAAATGTGATAACCAATTCATTTTCAATCATAAATAAATGGATCACAATAAATTATAACCAAACACCACCTAAACAAAGATCTTTTCCGTCATAATAACTAAAATAATCATAAGTCATAACTAATCCTATAATGAGTAATGACCAACCACAGGGCTGTCTTGAGATTTAGGAGGCCTAAAGCAAATTTCGAAAATGAGGGTCCTTCTTACATTGAAAAAAAAAAAAATTAATTCATGAATAAAACGATAAGTTACAACTTTTTTATTTGTTTGTAGCCACAAAAAAATTTACTTTCACATATAATTATTAAAATTATAAACAAAATAATTTAATGAAACAAAATTAGGACAAAAAAATCTGGAAAAAATTATTCAATTAAAACTGATAAAGACCTAAGTAAAAAAATTAAGGCAAAATTATTTATTCCACTAAAATCTAATAGATAAAGAAAGTAAAAAAAAAAATAATATTATGGCCCATATATTGCATGTATTGTTCTTCTTGGACCCAAACACTTTTTTTTTTAATATATATTTTCATTTTAATAAATATGGACCAAACTACACTTATAAATAAATATGAATTAAACCATACATGGACCCAATTAAATATTTTGAAGCCCTTTAAATTGATCCTTAAAAAAAAACAAGCAAACAAACAAACATTGAGCCTATAACATTTTACTAAATTAAAGAACCTTATTTTTGGATCAAAATTTTGAAACCTAAGACATAAGCCTTACTGGCCTTAGATCAAGGCCGGCCCTGACCAAACATTACTTGAGCCGTAAGCCACAAGAGAGTTCATAACTAAAGTAATAATCATAAACACAATGAATCAAAAAAAATCACAAAATACATAACTTGGGGCATATGGTATACTCCGTGTTGAAAGTGTGTATCATAAAATTTCCCATATATAAGACTTAAACTAACTTTTAAAGCGATCTATTCATTTTTTGTTGGAGGATGAGTTTTGTGACTTTGGGTTTTATAGGAGAGTTACATTTTGAGAAGGGTTTATAGATTTTGTTTTTCCTTTGTACTTAATTCGATGCCTCCATGGCGTCCTTCTAATAAAATTTTATTCTTATTTATCACGTGCATATAAGCAAGAAATCTTTCACATATCAACAAGGATCCAAATCCATTTTCTCATTTTCTTTCTCAAAAGAAAGACAGAATGCAAAAACATGGCAGCGGAGATAATTTCTCACTATGCAAGTACCTTTTCTATTTCCATTGAAACAAATTCAAAATACACATCCACCCAAGTAAATATCATTCTCATTCGTTATTATAGTTTAAAGTCCGTTTCTATGACCTACGAATACCCAGCAGTAAATGAGACCAATTAAGAAAAGATGATACTGTATAGCGGCGGATTAAGGAAAACATTATGTCAGGTTAGCAGCAATGACACTGAAAACCAAACCAAACCCCGCCATGTTTCTTAATCAATTGGGGTCTGTAGGCTATATGAATCATTTTTCACTATTTTACTCTATTAAAAGCACTAAGCCAATTACAATGAAAACAACAAATGAAAATAAAGAAATAAATAAAAGAGGGCCTTGCTAAGTCTCACGTGAGTTGCCATCCTAACTGGTTTGTATTTAAGACAGCTATTAGCACAGAATGATGTGGCAAACTGAATCCGCAAAGAAAAACTCATGGCAAATCCATCAAATAGGGAAGACACTAGAAGAGATAACTACAAGGTCATCGTGAATAAAGGGCCATGCCAAGTCTTGAATCTGGCTGCTCGAAAGGGGATCCAGGACAAGCTGGTTATGGAGGTTTACTAAGAGATGAAACAGGACTTTGGGTCTGGGGCTTTTATGGAAAGCTCGGTCATTGCTCAAGTCTTGAAGCTGAGTTGTGGGCCATTTACAGGGGTCTCACCATCCTTTTCCAAAAACACACACATGAAGTGGAGATTGAAACAGATTCTGCATTGGCACTATCCCAAATCCAAGATGGTCCATGCATCAACTATCCTTACAGAGCTCTTATTGAGGATGCCAAATTTCTGCTAAAAAGATGCCACTGTTCGTTAAAGCACACACTGAGAGAGGGCAACAAATGTGCTGATCAACTGGCTAAGATTGGTGTTGCTTGAGATGAACATGTTGTACTGTTGGAAGATCCCCCAAATGTATTGCAGGAGCTGCTTATTGCAGACTGAATTGGCACTGTTGAGCTGAGGGATTAGCCCTCTTGCTGATATGTTCTCTTGCTGCTATGTTTTATTTGTACTTCTGAACCTTGGCTATTATGCTTTCCCTTGAATCAACAAAAAAAGAATAAAGGGCCATGCACAGACTAAGAAGCACAAACACTCTACCAATGAAATTTCGTATGTGTAGAACACATAAATGGCTAAGAGACACCTAGAAATGTATTAACTATGACCTCAATTGCTACACCTACAAATGAATCAAAACTTCTCACATGGGAAGGACTCTAATCCATCCTTTGTGCTCAAACTGTAGAACTTTATTGTTTCTGCTATAAAACTAAAGAAGGTACTTGAATAGTTCATTTAACTTAGTTCTTCTTGAACAGCAGCACACTGGAGTATGTTTCAGAGCACCGTATTTTACGTGAGTACAGTTCACTAATTGCTTTTTTGTTATGAATTGCAGATACAATTACCATTTACCAACGTCACATTGACTCAGGTGGGGCATCGTTGGGTGTGGTTATATACCTAACTGGTGCCGAATTCATCTAAACACTGCTATTAAGCAGACAAGGCAGCACAGACCTAGTTTTGTAACTCTTCATCACTCTTATAGAGTACCATAGTTGAAACATGACTAAATATGTTAAAACAAAAAATAAATAAATAAAAGGAACAAAGGAATACTATCTGACATACTTTCACCATACAAGCACTGGAAATGTGGCATTCAAAAATTGAGAAAAAACTATTTCTTGGATGAGTTTCATAATGTGTAACATAAAAAAACAAAATTTACGAAAATCACCAATCCTGTCAACAACAACAAAAAAAAAATAAAAAATAAAAAAAATATATGTATAAAGAAAGAAATACAAAATATATCAAGTCTACGGCAAAACTAACCTCAGTGTGCAAAGTAGAATTATACAGGAGCAGTCATTCAAGTTTTCCCAGATGTTAAAAAATTTGGATTCCCAGTTATTTAATGCTATAGTAGAAAATCTGGGATAACTGGCATCTGTGCAACCACATTCACAGCCCCATCTGCCCTTTGCCGAGCTTTGTTCTTACCATGGCAGTGACTGCTTTTCTGCTTTTCTTTGCGACCATTTTCTTCACTTTCCTCAACATTCTTCCCTGTATCAACGTATCCGTATCGTACCAGTACTCGTCGAATTCATCTAAACACTGCTCTTAAGCAGACAAGGCAGTAAAGACCTAGTTTTGTAACTCTTCATCACACTCTTATAGAGTACCATAGTTGAAACATGACTAAATATGTAAAAACAAAAAAAATAAAAATAAAAAGAACAAAGGAATACTATCTGACATACTTTCACCTTACAAGCACAGGAAATGTGGCATTCACAAATTGAGAAAAAATCATTTCTTGGATGAGTTTCAAAATGTGTAACATGAAAAAACAAAAATTTACAAAAATCACCAATCCTGTCCAAAAAAAAAAATTTAAAAAAATGTATAAAGAAAGAAATACAAAAACTAACCGCGGTGTGCAAAGTAGAATTATACAGGAGCAAAGTCATTCAAGTTTTCCCAGATGTTAAAAAAATTGGATTCCCAGTCATGTAATGCTATAGTAGAAAATCTGGGATAACTGGCGTCTGGGCAACCACATTCACACCCCCATCTGCCCTTTGTCGGGCTTTGTTCTTACCATGGCGGTGACTGCTTTTCTGCTTTTCTTTGTGACCTTTTTCTTCACTTTCCTCAACATTCTTCCCTGTACTTTTATGTTTTCTCTCTTTACTATGAGAATGATGTTTGCTTCTCCTAGAATTAGAATTTCCTACCTCAGAATTTCCCGCATCAGCCAAATTTTCAGGTTCAATAGTAGTTATCTTCTCCTTCCCTCTTTTCTTGCTTGATGACTTATCAGAGAGCTTGCCTCGTGATGAACTGGGCACGGCTTCAATACCTGAAAGAACATCTTGCACAGCGCCAGAGATCAAATCATCTTTTGGCTCAGGCTTCTTGTCCGCAATACGTACTTCATTTCCTTCATCCAATCTTACAACAACAGGCCTAGACTTTGATTGGTTTGGCTTCTTCTTTGGGACAAATGACTGCTCTGTAAGCTTAACAAGAACATCCACATCATCTCTGACATCATTCGTCAATTTAGGTTCATTAGCAGGTGGGTACTCATTGGATGTAGTTTCCTTTATCTCTGAAGGAAGATAATACAAGCCATGCAGCTTGCGGTGCTCAGCAAGCAAAGATGTCGACTCAGATGATGGTCCCGATTCTTCTTTATCCTGGCTGTCAAAGAGAGCAGCACCATCCCTATCCTCAAATTCAGGTTTCCCAAGGGAAAAGGAATTTGATGTAGGTATTTGTATATCACCACAAATAGTTTCCAAGGCAATGAGATTCTGCTCAAGCATCAGTCCATCTGGTATAGGTACCCTTTCTTGAGCACTCATTGAAACCGGACCAATTTCCTCAGAAAAGGCATCATGCATCAGTTTGATAACTTCAGAAGCTTTTTTTTCACCAACCACCAAATTCCCATCCTTCTGGATTAAAGAATCACAAATTTCTTGCTCTACCAACTCGATTAAACCAAGTACATTATGTACCCTCTCTTGTACTTCCACCTCATGGCTTCCTGCTACTGGACCCAGAGCAGTTTTAACAACATCTAACAAGCTTACAATATATCCATGTGTAAGGTGTTCTTCCTTTAAAAAAGCTGACGAAGAGCTTGGTCCAGGAGCAACAATTGTATCTCCATAATTTCCCACAGAAAGATCTTCAGCTGATTGACGTAAAACCCTTGGATTGAAATCTTCATTCTTTTCGGAACCAGCAAGAGCTTCAGATGTTGCTAAATTGTCAACTTCTGAACATTCCCTTTCATAGATTGAATCCACCACACCTGGTGCCAAATCATTAGCATATGAAGCCGAAGAGGCAACAGCTTCGTTTTGGAAGAGATAAGAATGCAGACAGAAAATTAATACTTTAAATGAAGACTGAATATATACAGCTCTTATCGATGGTGGCAAGAGACTAGTCCGTGGTTGTAACAGTGCTTCCATAAGCTCAATTGTGTTCTTTGAATACATAACATACTCCCCTGACACCCAAGCAGCTGCAGATAATATCCTGTGTAAAAAGGGATTTCCAAGCAATGCAGGATCAATCAGTAGATCACGACCAACACGAACAAGCTCTGGTCTTACATCCTTCACTCTCATACCAATATCAATTAACTGCCTCTCGATTTCTTCCCCCTTTTGGCAATGGGGCATCCTTGATATCTCCCCAAGAAACGATACATACCAATCAAAATCAATGATTATCTCATAAACATTTCTACAAGAAGTTGATAGTATTGACCCAAGAATCTCATTGCAAAACTCCGGATCAGATTTCAGTGCATAATTAACCAAAACCCTAGAAATTTCAGCCACGTTATCCTCCGACACCATCACCATCACAAGACACAAAGCTTCAAGCTTAATATTAGGATCAGCATCACTCAAAGACTTAATCACAACCTCCTTGTTCTCCACCACCGCCCACAAATGCTTAGGCGCAACAATCGAAAGAGCTTGCAATCCAAGATACTTGAGATTCGGATCATCCTCAACCAAAAACTCCCGAACTTTCTCAACCGCGAGCCTCACTGCAGATTCATGATCAGTCAAACTAGTCACTATAGTCCGAATACACTCAAACATCAACGATTTCGCCCCGGTTCTCCTCATATGCTCGCAAATCGGATCAACAATCCTCTTCGCCAACCTCGGTTCCAAAGGGGCTAACAAAGCAAAAATCTTTAAAACCTTAATTAAAACCCAATTATTCCTCGAATCAACCAAAATCCTATAAAACTCAGGTGCTAAAGGGAGATACGATTTAGGTTCTCTCGAAGCGAGCTCACAAAACACACTAACAACAGAAGACACAGTTTGCGAATCAGAACTATCTAGATTCTCAACCAATCGCTTGAAACAAACCCTAACAGCATCAGGATACTCACGAAAAACCTTCAAAATCGTGGAAATTGCTTTTTTACGAATAGAGAGTTTAGAACTCGACAACAATGTGAAGATTTCAGGAGTTAGGTCACGAGCAAGATCGATTGTGCAGATAATGGAGAGGCATTCGAGAGCGAGACTTACCTCGAACTCGTTGATGGAATTGAGGTCTTTGCGAAGCTGATTGGTGAGGAGGAGGAGGACATCGGTGGAGGAATTGAAGGATTGAGAGGCAGCGAGGTATCCGATCTGCTTGTGGTGGAAGCGAGGAGAGGAGGTGACTTCGACGGCGTGGAAGGCGGCGAAGGAGGTGTCGACGCCGTGGAGGGAGCGGAGGTAGTTGAGTTTTTGGAGAGCGATGGATTTGGTTTGGAGATCTGTAGATTTGATCTCGCGGCGAATCTCTTCCATCGCTTTGGAGATGAAGGTTGATTCGCTGACGAGTTGGAGACGGGTGCCTTTGATTAGGTCTTCTAGGGTTCGTTGGAATAGTGAGTCCATGATCGATGGACCTGCCATTGATGATTATGATCAGTTATATCTTCTCTTCACTTTCTCTCTCTATGTTTGTGTATATATATATGGTTGGTTTATGTATGATAGAACTCCATGATTGAAAGAAACAGGGAAGATCGATGGATCGATGACAGAGAGGAGGATCAAAGTGGGGTTTTGCTGATAGTGTGGATAGAGAGATGTGATCTGAGAAATGGGAGAGTCCGTCCGCAGGCGGCGTTTGGTAACTTGTTTGGGTTCGTTTTGGAAAAAAAAAAAAATAATAATAATAATAATAAAATAAAAAATTTAGGCCTTGTTTGGCATGATCTAAAAAAATTGAAAAGTCAAAAAGTCACTATCCTATTTAAGCCTCCGTTTGGGAAGTGGGTTGGCTTTTTGGCTTTTTGACTTTTTTGGCTATTTTAACCTGGGCTAAAAAGCTTTGTTTGGGAAGGGCTTTTTGGCTTTTTTGACTTTTTTTGTGAGAGAAGAATGTAATGATTATGGGTTGGATGTGATATTTTGTTTTTTGTGGCTAAAATAGCCTATTTTGTCTTTTGTGGCTAAAATAGCCAAAAAAGCCCGGAAAAGCCCTTCCCAAACGGACCCTTAAGTCATATCATCTTATTTAAATCACATCACTTCAAACCCAACCTATACACAACCCATATTTCATAAAAAGTAAAAAAGTACACTTATTTTGATCATCCCAAACCACCCCTTAGTAATATTGTTATATGCATCAATTAGTATATTAATTAATGTATTAATTAATGATACGGCATAATTTATGAGATTTTTTATATTTGTAATGTGATTAATGAGTGTTTTCAATAATAATTTCATAACTAGTGTTGATACACTAGTTAGTATACTAATTGGTGCATATAGAATCACTGAAATTTTAGACTGACTTTTTAATTTTTTGGTTAAATTAATTTTGTTTGGGAAGATCTTTTGGATACTTTTTCATAAATCTATTTTCACTTACTTATATTCTATTTAATATATATTATTTTCTTATATTCTAATAAGTCATATTGGTAACGTAATTATCAAAATACCCTTAATAATATTCACATTTACAGTGTGAATGCTCCATGATGTGAATGTTCACACTCTCAATGTGTATGTTCATACCATCAATGTGAATGTGAATATTAACATGTTAATGTGAACATTCACATTATAAAATATGAATGTTCATATCACCAAATTGTTAACCGTTCAAAAAAATATTTGTAGGGGTAAAAATATCTATAAAATATTTTAAATATGAAAATTAAAATTTAATAGATCACATGTCCAAATAATAAAACTTATTGAAATACAATAATATCTTATGGATTAATTCAAATATAAACACTTAAAAATTAATTTTCTAATAAATCTCCTAATTTTTTTTAATTTTTTTTAAAAAAATAAAATAATTATAATTTAAATATAATATTTTAATTTATAACTGTATTTCACTTATCTTGTGTTTCTATGTTTTTTTAAGTCCCAACCCACTTGTCCAACAAAGTTTCTATTTTTGCGTTTGTCTTTTTCATTTTTTTATAATTTTTTAAAATATATATATACTACACATCTTTATAAAAAGTCAAAAATAACACTTTATATAACATTCATTTGAGAATAACTTTTTTAGCCTGACTTTTTAACTATTTTAACATGATTAAAAACATTTTATTCGGGAAGATTTTTTTATTTTTTTGTAATTTTATGCGAAAAAAAATAAAATAATTATAATTTAAATGTGACATTTTGTCTTATTGACTTTTTAATTTATTTTGACATTTAGTGGGCCAAATTAGTCCAACCAACTTCTCAAATGAGGCCTTAAATCATTCCAAACAAACCTTACTCTGTTTAGTTTAGAATTTTCAAAAATAGTTTTATGAGTTTTCAATTCATTTGTTTGTATTTTAGTAATTTTTTAAAATATTTTAATTAATTTTTTTTATTACATTCACTTAATGTTGATACACTTAAAACAATTTATAATTTGTACAAAACAAATTTAAAAATTATTATATATAACAAAATACTAAATTTTTGTATTTTTTTCTATTTTTGTATTTGATGAATTTTTAAAAAAAAAATCAAAAATATTATACTTTTTAAATGTATTTTAAATTAAGTGTATTTAAAAAATAAAAAAAAATTACGTAAAATATTTAAAAAGTTCACTAAAAAAATATATTAAAAAATCAAGTTATGTTTGGTTAAATTTTCAAATAAACTTTTGCAATGAAAAATCCAAAAACTATGTTTGATTTACAATTTTTGAAAAATATTTTTTAAATTGTTTTCTCTCTCCTCTCTCTTTCTCTTTTTTATTTTTTAATTTTTATACATCAATCCATTACTTTTTTTTCTCTCTTATCGCATTCTACATATTAATCAATAATTTTTTCTCTCACACTTATTTATTCAACTATCAAAAAAAATTACAAATCATCTTAAAATTATTTTCAAAACATAAAATAAATTTTAAAATTTTGCAAACTCCTTTTAAAAAATTATTTTTCAAAATTGATTCTCAAAACTAAAATCAAAGATAACAAACAATAGTGGGGTGGCCAAAAAAAATTTATTCAAGAAAATCAAGTAAAAAAAAAAACCTTCTAAATGATAATTTTTTAAATAAGTGTTACGAAAGAATTTGCATAATAAAAATTATAAATTTTTATAAATAAGTGCCATGATTCATCATGTTTGGCCACTTTTCTTCTCTTGATTCTTTCATGCTTTAATTTAAATTTTTTCAACTTTTAAAGTTAATTTACATTAAAAATTAAACAAAAAATGACAAATTAATAATTACGTGACATACAAATATTTTTTTATTATATAACTTACACCTTTTGACATAAACTCAAATTTTAATATAATAATATATTTTTTATATTATGTAACACTTATTGTGACATTTTCTGTTTAATTTTGAAGAGTAATTACTTTTAAGAGTAATTTAAAAAAAGTTTAAAATATGAAAGGTTGAAGTGAAAATAAATAAATTTTAAAAAATAAAGTAAAAATGTAACCAAACATAAAAATACGTTGTGTAGTTTACCTTTTTTAAAATGAATGATTTGTAGACAACTTGGTCCAAGTACTTTAAGAAATAAAGTAAAAATGTGATAAAGATAAATGTAGCGTTTGGTAACGTTTACGTTTTTCCGTTTATATTTATAAAATTTTTATAAATTGATTTTTATTTATTTTTAGAAAAACATAAAGTACAAATGCGTTTGGTTTAAACAAAATGTTTGAAAATTTTTTAAAATATAAACTAAAAAATATGTTTATTCAGGCCTAAAATATTTATATTTATTTTTTATTATTTATGATAATGGGATTATACACATTATAATTGGAAAAAAAAATAATTGGAAACAAAATAATTGGAAAAAAAATTATTTGAAAAAAAATAATTGAAAAAAAAATTATTAGTCAAATTTTTAAATTTCTGTTTAAAAATCAACATAAACTTATTTTTTTAGTTTACATTTTTTTCTCAAATTTACAAACTAAGACAACCATTTATAAACTAAAAAAATTTATCAAACAAGTTTTTATGACAATTTTTAAAATTTTTATAAATATAAACTGAAAACGAAATAGTTAGGTGCCGTTTGGTAACACTTACGTTTTCTATTTTCTATTTATATTTACAAAAATTTTAAAAACTCAAATAAAAACTTGTTTGGTAAATTTTTGATTTATAAATCAGTGATCTCAGTTTATAAATTTGGCCAAAAAATGTAAACTCAAAAAATGTGTTTCCGTTTTGAGTTTTCAGTTTTTTTTTTTTTTTACCACCCAACACTAGCCACCACCCGCCACCATCTCCCACCACCGTCTTCGCCACCACCTGCCACACCACACTCACCACCCACCTACCACCCACTCGCCACGACCACCCACCCCTCACTACCACCACCACCACCACCCACCACCCACTTGCCATCTACCACCACCACCCGCCACCATCACCGTCACCCACCTGTCACCACCATCCACCACTAGCCTCCTGCCACCCACCCGCCACACCACCACCACCCACTCACTACCACCTGTCACCCACACACCCACCACCACCACCAACCACCACCACTACAAACCCCCGCCCCCAACCGTTTCAACCCACTAACCCACTCACCAATCACCACCATTTTCCACCACCTTCTTCCGCCACCACCACCCATCCCCCCACCCACCTGCCACCACTACTCGCCATCGCCACTACCATCACCCCCTCGCTACCATCCACCACTCGCCACCGCTACCGCCACCGTCACCCACCCACTTGCCACCGTCACCCACCACCAGCTACCCACCAACCACTGTCACCACTTTCCCCCACCGTCTTTTGTCGCCACTTGCCACCACTTGCCATTTCTTACTATTTTTTATATTTTTTAATTTTTTTAAACATTTTGTCAATTACTAAACACATTTGTAGTTTATGTTTTTTTAAAAATAAACAAAAACCAGTTTATAAAATTTTTGTAAATATAAACTGAAAACGTAAACATTACTGTAATTTAACCTTTATAAAAGGAACAATTTGTAGACAGCTTGGTCCAAGTATAATATAAGCCCTATTTAAAAGAATTGTGCTAACTTCCTCAGTTTTTTCTGTAGAAGGCCCATCTTCAAAGCCCTGACAAAAGCCCATTTATATGATATGATGTGAATACATTGGGTTTGTGGCCCAAATTTTTCAATCTGTTTTTGTGGAAATCAGACTGAACAGTCGAGTTTTATCCATATGGGTAGATATTTTTCAAACTCAGCAAAAACAAAAGAAAAAAAAAAATGCAATTTGTGTCCTGATCATCTTGGTAAATTGAACAGCCCGGTTGTACTTTACTGTGATGATTTAATATGTTCATTTTCTACATGCATGTTTAAATTATTTATTAAAAAAATAAAATTAATCTTTTAATTATAACTACACTATTTTATAATATTTCTCTTTATTTGTGCTCATCCTTTGATTTTGAATTTTGTGGACGAATGAATTTTATGCAGCACATTAGGCCACTTTAAAGAGTGATCATCAAAATTCTAGCCAATGGCAATGGGTGACCCATGTTCGTACCAACTTACACACATGATGAGACTTTAGTGTGGTGGATGTTACAGCAACTGTTTTTAGTTTTTTTTTTTTTTTTTTTTTAAAAAAAAGAGTAATTTTTTTGGATACCAATCGAAAATCCTAAGTGATTCGTGAT